ACTACTTTTTCCAACAAAAACATTGTATTGCATTGGAAGTATGACCCTTAAAACACATCATTATCCATTATTAAAACAATAAATGTCAGGATAGAACAGTGCCAGCTGTGCTGTAGTTTAATGTTGAAGCAAAACCACACTCAGCATTCAACTGAGCTACTGAATGGTACTACTGCCATTTGGGGAAGCATTGCTCAAACACTTCAGGAGTTTGACTTGACTGAATGATACATTTCCAAACACACAGACCAAAATTACTGAAATGTGTATATCCCCCAGCCTTAGGATTTCCAGTCTCTTGTTATTGCACCTGGGAGACTTTTATTTCAACCACAGCCACCTCCATAGTAAGAATTTAAGCCCTGCTTTTGGGATAATACAAAAACAATCTGGAGGAATATTGTTATTACTGCTGAGCAGCATTTATATATATTTTTTGGAAACTGTAATCTGCTAATTTGCATGGATATTTAGAGCATGGAAAGAAAAAGGAGAGGAACAGGTAGTGGGAAAGGTGGGTATATAGGAGAAGAGGGTCACAGCTTCTCTGAAAACAGGAACAGAGAAATGTTCTGTCAGTAACTCCACCTGCCTCTATCCTCTAGGCAGACATTGTCTAGGCAGACATCTCATTTGATGAGATCCAGGTGCTGAATCTCACATGCTGCTCAGTTCCAGTGAACTTGTCTAGTGACTAATTATTGTTGATTGTCTTGGCTGCCATGAGCACATTTCCAGGTACAGATTTCATGTTGGGCAACTCATTTCTAAGCAGTAGTCTCACTGTGCACCTGCTGTGACCCAGGAATCGGTGTCACACTCATTCCAGGTCTCCAGTGTTCCCTAGCTCTGTTGCCATCTAGACTGTCTGGTCGCAAGAACTCTGGTTTCCAGTTAAGTGCTTCAGAGACAGCATGAGAATAAAGGAAACACTTTAGTTTGGAGTCTCTTACCCCTCGTTCACTTTACTGTAAACCAGCCACGTGAGAATTCCTCAGTAACAAAGCCTACAAATTCCTGAACAAGTTTCCTGTTTGACTTGTTGTGACTGTGAGTTTTAAATCTGGTTCAAAGCCTTTGCAAAAGGATTTGAGTTTGATTATGAATTAGTTTAATTGATATCATAAACAGCAACCGTACAAAATACAAAGCCATCTGTGACATAGGTCATCAAGAAGGAAACAAATACATGTTTAGACCAGGCGAATTGTACTTAATTTCCTTTTTTTCCCAGCTTATGTTTTCTAACATCCTGAAATACCTCCATTCTTGTAGTCACATTGTCAGGTAACAACACTTGTTTGGGATAGAAATCCTTCGAACAAGATGCTGCTGTTGTGATTTTTTTTTTCTCACATGGTCACAGCTATTCCTTCTTCATTGCAGTCCTTCCCTAACTGGGAGAAGTCAACTGAAAATCTCAGTGACAGAGGTAAGAAAAAATTGAATATCTATATTTTTAAATTGTAAAATATCATAGTAAATTTTAAAGTACTGCAATATTATTTTTAAAGAAGGAATATAAAGGTGAATTCATCTATGTGCTATGGACATGCTTCTGTGTGAATTTCACAGGTGATTAGAACTTATTAGCATCAAAGATTCAGTACCTCTAAAAATAATTCCTGTGTTTAGGCATGTGTATTTCATATTGTGACTCACATTTCCACATGTAATAAGTTTTCTTAGGTATAAGAACTATAACAGTAACTGCTTTTATACAAGTATCAATTTTTCAGACAAGTTTTTCAAAGCAACTAGATAAATCCTGATAATTTACAAGACTTGAAAATCTGATCTCAAACGATCATGTGTTTTAGTTACATTAACCTTGAATAAGGGAAAAGATGGAGCAAAGCTTTCCCTAATGAATTTCTGTTAATATTTTTATAAGATACTTGTTAACATTTATCAATGTTTTCACTGTGTACAAATAAAAATTAAGATGTCTGTTTCTTTTAAAAATCCATAAAAATCCTTTTCCATAGAAAAATCCATAATATTCTATGCCATGGTGATGGTAGTTTCTAAAGTGTTATTTTTCTGCCCTTCCTACCTTGTCAAGAGTATTTGTGCTTCTTATAAAATAGCATGCTATGCAAAGGAAATGGAAACTGCTGCAACAAATGCTTGCTACAGTTTTGTGATTTAAATGGAGGTGCAGTTTTATTGTAACATTATTAATGAAGAAGAAAGTGGGAAAGAAAAGCTGTTTAAAATAGGTAAAAATAGAAAAAAAAGAAAAATATATTTTATGGTGAAAAAGCTGACCAAACCCCACACACACATTTTGAAGTTTGAACTTAAGTAATTCCCAAAACACTAAGAGATACTGTCCTAGTCTAGTAGGATCACACCTCTCAAATACTCAGATTTCCTAAGTTTTTTCACAGAAATTTGCCTTCAACTAAGGAAATTTCTTTGGACTCCCAGTTTAGGTTCAAGGCATAAAATAAACCAACACTCTTTACAAAATACGTCAGTAGATAGGGCAGCTCTTTATTACAGCTGGTCACAACCTAAACACGGAAAGACTGGCACTTCTCCATTATACATATTGAACTAGTAGTTCCTTCCATGAGAATGTTGATTAGGGCTGCTTCACAGCTACAATTAAGCACCAGTTAAGCAAGCTGAATGTAATAAAGGTCCCTGAAAGCCCACATTATTTTCTTCAGCTGGAGATAGAGACCTGGAATGTTGCTACCCAGTCAGAAAGTTGCTGAATGTCAGCAACTTTTCCTCTTCACAGGTATTTGATTTCTATCTTTTCAAGGTTCAAGATATTCAAGAACATAAAAATATTTCAGAAAATACAGGGGTGGAGTGTGAACTTAATCATCCGTTCCTTCTCATCCTTTCTATATTGAAGTCAAATAACTTCTTATCTGTTACTGTTCTGAACTTGATTTTGGAATGGAGATCTTTCTGCCTTTTCCCTCACAGTAACATAGTCTGTGTTAAGCTTTCATAAACAGACAGAAAGATGCATTAAAAAATATCCTTCAATGTTTTTTATTCATAACACTTAGCACTGCTTAGCAGAGCATGCACATTCAATAATACTCTTTACCTTGCAGCTCATGTGAGTAAGCTGTATGAACAGGCTTCTCATCACACAAAGAAAATAATCACCACACAGAGAGAGGACCAACAGCAGAAGTTAAGGTAGGACAGAACAGTGAGAGCTGATGCCAGTGTAAATAACACATAGGATGGAACCAAGCACACAGGCAAGGCAATGTACTTTACTGAATGTCATTAAGGACTGGGACCTGGATCTCTAGATATATATGATAGTGTTTTAATAGCTTGTCCTATGATTGTTTTGTACCTCTGTGCCTCTCTTTCCTTATCTGAAAGATACTTTGAAGTTCTTTGGGAAAGGCTTTTGAATGTTTGATTGAATAATCTAATAAAAATGCAGATATGAGGAAACTGTTTTGTGTAAACCATACAAGTCCAAGCCAGGAGTCACCTGAGGTGTCAACATATTCTCATAAAGAGCAATTTCTTTCCAGGGGTATCTTGTAAATATTTTTTTGCTTATAGAACACAATGCTAGTTGTCTCATTTCCACTACTCTCTCTGTTTTTGGTGGTTGTTTTGATCATTCAGCCCAGAAGGAGTAACACCAGTGTCCAAGTGGCAAAGCAGACTGGAACAGCACAGGTAATAGTATTAGTAGGTTGAACTTATTTTATGAGCCAGCTTAATCTGCGTTTGTAAAGAATGTTATTGATTTCACCAGGTCTTGGGTAATAGTGCAGGGACTTGCTAGCAAATAATGGAGTATTTTCTGCAACAGAAATGGTGAATAAATGGTTTGAGCCTCTCTCTTATACTTTTTTTTTTCTCCCCAAAAATCCAGCAGTATTACTGTTAACTTACACTATTCAAAACAAGACTGAAGTCAGAAGTCCTGTGTTTTGTTTACTGGTTCTGCCACTAGTGTGGAAAATACTGTATACTTCTCATTTATATTAACAGCTATGTAGGAAATTCAGTATTTCTTAGATTAACCAGAATAATTTAAAATGCTGATTAATTAATATTATAATTAGAAACTTGCTCTTTCTTTCGTATTTTTGTAAAAGGTTAAATATCAATTGAAAACTAAGTTATCTTCCATATTTCTTCTTAATTACTTTCTGATTTGCATGAAATAAAAAACCTTTTAGAGTTTCAGAGTTATATTTTAATATAGCATTCCACACTATTTTGCATAGTCTTAAAAACACAAGAAGATCATGTGCAATTTTGGCTTTAAAACCAGATTAAGTATGATTAAGAGTGATAATTTCATGGTTGCAAGTCAGTGAAACTCTAGTAGTGTAAAACTGGGCTATATGAAGTTGAACATAACTAGTCTTTACGCTGGTGAATCTTGCCTTCAGAAGGTTGAATATTTTTTTCTGTATCCACAGAGCCATCAAGTTTTCCTGTGATAAAATAAGGAAATTAGATGAATTTTGTGTTCCAAAATTCAGCAGCGGATCTGAAATACCAATTCCTAGGTTTAATGTTTGTTGGAAGTTTGAAAAGACACTACTGGCAGTCCCAGACATGTTCCGTGAGATTTAGAGCAATGGAGCACGTTCAGAGGAGGAGCTCTTCATAGCACCCAATCCACTCTCCACTATCCACATGCATTTTGATCAGACCAGTCCATTCTTGATCCATCACTGAGAAAATTGCCAGTAACGAGAATATCACTCCATGTGTGATTAACCAGGGGGAAAAAATGCCACTTGTCTTTACCAATTCCATTTCTTGATGTGTAGTACTGATAAACAGGGTGAACTCAGTTATAATGCTTTTTTCTTTTTTTCCCTTACCAATGGTGTAAAAATCATACATAGGAAAGAACTTGAGGAAGAAAAAGAGACCTTAATGGCAATAAGAAACAAAAGATTTCTTCCATATTTTGAATCAGAATTCAGCAAAGAATTTTTCGAAAAAAAGGTAATGCAGCTAAAAATGGGAAGAGTTTATGTTAGGCTAGGTAGTATCTGCCATACTCCCATAGTTGTGGGTTTATTAGATCTCAGCATCAGTTTATCTCAAGAAACCATTACAAAGGACAGTTGTGGCAGAATTAATACTGGGAATTATATGCCCTTGTCAAAAAGAAACATATCTTGAATATAGTATATGTTTACTGAGTAAAAGCTCTGTAAAATTCTTTCTATAAACTCTGGAGAGACTCTGATTCAGAGCAAAGCTAAACCTCAGGCCTTTTCACTTATCCCTCAAAACCTCTCCCTGCTAATACATTATTAGGTAATGAGTAAAACTAACAATCCTAAGTTAGAGGTGACCTTAGGAGCTTTCCTGTTGTAATCTCACCTGATAAATACTGTAAGTGCATAAAACATACACAAAAATGTACGTTGGAATCTGAGGTAACTGTTTATCCTTTTTATAGTTACCACTTTGGTTCTACTTATTTGTTTCCCTTATGCTCTTTTTTTTATTTTTTCCTTTTTTTTTTTTTTTTTTTTTTTTTTTTTTTTTTTTTTTTTTTTTTTTTTTTTTTTTTTTTTTTTTTTTTTTTTTTTTTTTTTTTTTTTTTTTTTTTTTTTTTTTTTTTTTTTTTTTTTTTTTTTTTTTTTTTTTTTTTTGCAGGGGGAGGAGTGTGTCTGCTATTTGCTTTTTCTAAATGTTTATTTGAGAAACATAACCCCTTTTTCTTACTTTTCTCTAGTTTCCTGATGTGGAAGCACTGTCTATGGAACTTCCTCCAGTTCAAAAA